CCCGCCCCCACCCTAAGATAAATGGTACAGGCCAGCCATTGCCCCCCGCCCCCACTGTAAGATAAATGGTACAGGCCAGATATTACCCCCCACAGCCCAAGATCAATGGTACAGGCCAGCCACACCCTTTCTCCTAGAAAGGTGCTATCTGGTTGCACCCATCTCCCTAGTCTCAGGGGCCCCTTCCAACAGATGTGTTCCAAGGACCCCACCTGTCTCCCCAAGATGGTACATTCCAAGGGGATTGAGAGTCAGGACTTCTGCACCCCATTGTCTAACCATTACACCGTCTGCCCCTCTCCCCTCTCCCAGCAACCCTGGTGCCCAGCCTCCCCCACCCCTTGCTCTAGCCCGCCAGACCTCACTGCCCACCCAGAGCTGGGGTAGAACCTGGATCTCCTGCTCTACCTCACTGGACCCCCACCCCTTCTAGGGGCAGGGGTAGAACCCAGGAGTCCTGAGTTCCAGCCCCCCCTGCTCTAACCCACCAGACTTCACTGCCCACCCAGAGCTGGGGTAGAACCCAGGAGTCTTGGCCACCAGACCTGCCTGTTGTAACTCACTGGGCCCCTCCCCTTCTAGGGGCAGGGGTAGAACCCAGGAGTCCTGGTGCCTAGCCCCACTGCTCTAACCCACTGGGTCCCCTTTCAGAGCTGGGGTAGAACCCAGGAATCCTGGCCCCAGCCCTCAGCCCTAACCCACTGAACCTCCCTCCCCTCCCCGCTCGGAGCCAGGGCTAGAACCAGAGGCCTTGCTCTACCCCTGCTCTGTAACCATGGGACATCCCTCTAGACGAGGGGCAAAGGGTTGTTATTGTATCCCACCGGCTCCCCTCCATGGTCCCATGCGCCCCCAGCTCCTCCCTGCCCTACCCCGCCCGGTGCCAGCTCTTCCCGCTCACCCCCCCTCCCCGCGCCTCTTGCAGACATGGACAAGGAGGATGCACTGATCTGCTTCGAGGAGCACATCCGCACGCTGGAGAAGGAGGAGGAGGAGGAGAAGGAGAAGACGAAGCTGCGTGAGAGGCGCCAGCAGCGGAAGAACAGAGAGGCTTTCCAGGTATCCGTGCCCTGGGGTCTAGAAGAGGTGGTGACGCCCTAGCGGGGGGTGACGGCTCTGGTCTGGGCTCGGCGGAGCAGGGCGGCCTGTAGGTCTAGCTGGAGGCTGCCTGCCCCTTTGGGGGGCATCAAGGACTTGGCCGGGAGGGGGTCAGGGTGCTGGGCTGGGGGGAGGGTGTATCTGGAGGGAGTTCGGTGTCTGGTCACTATTAGCCGTAACCCTTCCATGCCCAGGGCAGGACTGGTCATTGCACATCCGCAGGGTTTAAAGAGCTCAGTGGTTGGCCCCTGGTCACTGGAATGCCTCCTCCTGTAGTTGTTCCAGCAGTTCTGGTTTGGGCAGCTTCTCCCCTTCCTGTCCTTCTTCCCCCTGGCTCTGGCCACGATGGCCATGGGGTCAGGTGCCTGGGCAGGACGGCAGGACGGGACTGTTCTGTGTCACAGGACGGCAGGGCTGGGAGTCAGGACGCCTGGGTTCTGTTCCCGACTCCACGCCAGGCTGGGTGGGTCGCTCAGGGCTCGGTTCTGCAGCTTGGAAGTCAGAGGGAGTTTGGGATTGTGGCTACAGCCGGAGGCGGATCAGTCCCCTCCCCTCCCTGTGCCTGAGTGAACACCAGCTTGGGGCACTAAGGGAAGGTGACGTGAACATCCCCGCACAGGTCTAAGGGGCCCATAGATCTCATTCCCCAGGCGGCCGCCAGGGGGTGCCCTGCAGCGCGCAGAGCACCTGGCCACCTGCATGCTGGCAGCAGGGTCCGAGCAGGGGGCCGTTGCCTCTGCTCCTAGGGAGGGGCTCCGGGAGCTTTGTAGCCTAGACCCTTCTACCCTTCAGGTCTGTACATACAGCGTAGGCCGACCTAGCTGCATGGCTCAGGGCGGTGGAAAATGCCCAGCCCGAGAGCCGTAGTTAGGCCGACAGACCCCCGGGGCAGGCAGCGCTAGGCCAGCTGGAGAACTCGTCCCTCGTCCTAGTTACCGCCTCTCGAGGGGGCAGATTTACTGCGGCGCCAGCCCCCTCCGCAGCGAGCGTCTGCACGACAGGGGCCCGGCTGCAGCACTTGGAGCCCACCCGGCACCTCGCCCAAGGTTCCCGAGGCAGCTGGAGGCAGAGCAGGACTAGAACCCAGGTCTAGAACCCAGTAAACCAGAGACCAGTCCCAGCCTCCCTCTGACTCCTGTCCTGTCCTCATTCGCCACATCCCTGCAGTGACCCAGCCCTGCTGCCCGCAGATAACCGCCTGCCAGCGAGCCCCTGCCACGGGCAGCTGAACCCCCTTCGGGCAGAGCGACCTTCTCTGCAGGAGAGCGTCTGGGGGGATCCAGCTGTTACCCCAGCCTGGGTGCCCTGGACCTGCTATGCAGGGAGTGGCCAGCAGGGGGCAGCAGCTACTTAAGACCTTTTCCTAAGGCAAAGCCACCCAGCATGTCCCCTGCTGATGCCGCAGTTGGCTCTGTGTTTGGGGCAGGATCCCATGTGGCGGCGAGGCCGGGCCGTGGCCCGATGCTCGTTCTCTCTCCATGGCGGTGCAGCAGACGGGCCGTGGCCTGACTCCCTCTTTCTGTGGCTGTGCAGACGGCCCGTAGCCCAGGGCTCGCTCTCTCCGTGGCCCGGCTCTCTCTCCACAGAGAGAATTGGAATTGGAAAAGGTTCAGAAAATGCCAACAAAAATGATGAGGGGGATGGAATGGCTTCCGTATGAGGCGAGATTAATAAGACTGGGACTTTTCAGCTTGGAAACGAGACGGCTAAGGGGGGATATGATAGAGGTCTATACAATCATGACGGGTGTGGAGAAAGTGAATAAGGAAGTGTTATTTACTCCTCTCCTAACACATGAGCTAGGGGTCACCAAATGAAATTAATAGGCAGCAGGTTTAAAACAAACAAAAGGAAGTATTTCTTCACACAATGCACAGTCAACCTGTGGAACTCCTTGCCAGAGGATGTTGTGAAGGCCAAGACTATAACAAGGTTCATAAAAGAACTAGATAAGTTCATGGAGGACAGGTCCATCAATGGCTATTAGCCAGGCTGGGCGCAGGGATGGTGTCCCTGGCCTGTTTGCCAGAAGCTGGGAATGGGCGATGGGGATGGATCACTTGATGATTCCTTGCTCTGTTCACTCCCTCTGGGGCCCCTGGCATTGGCCACTGTCGGCAGACAGGACACTGGGCTGGATGGACCCAGTATGGCCATTCTGATGACCTGTTTCACAGTAGAGGGGTCGTGTGATCCGTGCCGTTCCCCCTGCTGTTTGGAGGGGCCGTGGGGGGCGGGGCTCTGCTGTGCCCCGGGGCGCAGGTGTGTTCGGGGGAGGGGCTGATCTCCAAGTTCTCTCTCGCTCTATCGTAGAATAACAGGCTGCTTCTTGCCCAGGCCTTTCTGGATGAGCTGCACGACAAGGGGCAGCTGCACTCCATGTCTACCTGGATGGAGCTGTACCCCTCGCTGAGCGCCGACGCCCGCTTTGCCAACATGCTGGGCCAGCCCGGTAAGGAGCGGCGTAGCCGCGGGGGGCGCGGGACCATGGGGGAGAGCCGAAGCCTGGCATGGAGCCCCTGGGGGAGGCGTGTTAAAGGGCCAGCCGTGACTGCAGCAGGAGCCCAAAAGAGGGGGAACTCCTGCTCCCGGGTAGAGCCGGGGGGGCCCAGTGGGGTGGGTTCCTGGGGGATGGGTAGCGTCACCCTGCCCCCCTCCCCCCCAACTAGAGCCGGGAAAGCGCAGAGAGGAGAAGGGACTCGCCCGAGGGGGCAGAGGCTGTGATGCTGGGGCAGAGCTGAGGGGTCTGAGCACCGGGCGTCCCTGGGTTCCAATCCCCGCCCTGGCCGGGTCCCCTTCCTGCACCTCCCCGTTGGGGCCTAGTGAGCTGCCGCTCGCCTCCTGGGCCTCATCTGACAGTGTCCAGCGAGGCTGCATCAAGTGCTTAGCGAGGGGACTGGAGAATAGACTAGGGGTAAGAGCAGGGGGCTGGGAGCCAGGACTCCTGGGTTCCCTCCCCGGCTCTGGGAGGGGAGTCGTGTCTAGTGGTTAGAGCAGGGGCTGGGAGCCAGGACTCCTGGGTTCTGTTGCTCACTCGTGATGTGACTGCCCTGTGCAATGACCTGCCTGCCTGAGGCGGGGTATTAATTAAGGAGCATAGTGCGCTGGGGGCTTCTCTGGAGCCCGGCGGCCCCCCCCTCCTGGTGCCACGCTGGGTGTCCTGGCAGGGCCTGTAACACCGCCCCCTCTGCTCAGGCTCCACCCCCCTGGACTTGTTTAAATTCTACGTGGAGGATCTCAAGGCTCGTTTCCATGACGAGAAGAAGATCATCAAGGACATCTTAAAGGTGAGGGCATGCAGCTGCCTCTGCCCGTGGGGTTTGGGGTCCTGTCTGACCAGCTTCCCCAGCCCCCAATTGTCCTGCTGTGTGGAGAGGGCCTTGGAATGGCCCGGCCCCTCTGCCCGGCCTCGCGTGCCCACCTGCCAGGCTCCTGTTCTCTCTGCAGGTGCGCTTCACCTTGCGGATGAAGTGTGAAGCCATCGCCCCAAGCCATAGGCTAATCCGGGCCGCAGTCCAGCTCCGCTCATTTCATTCTGCCTCTCTAAAACTCCCATGCTTTGCGCTGGATGTGGGCCTGTTCTTTGCATCCTGTCCTAAACAGCTGCCATGCCCCACCCCAGAGATGGCTGCATTTCAGGGCTAGGGCGAAGTGAACCCTCTTTATGTACCACACTGTATGTGCAGGGGATGGGGACTCCCCCATGACCTCCTGCCCTCGCCCTGTTCTGGGCACAGCCGCTGCTGGCCCTGGGGGACGGGATGGGACACGGGTGACCCTGCCTCTGTCCTGGCAGGATCGTGGCTTCGGCGTGGAGGTGAACACGACCTTCGAGGACTTCGCCCACGTGATCAGCTTTGACAAGAGGGCAGCCACGCTGGACGCAGGCAACATCAAGCTCACCTTTAACAGCGTAGGTGGGGTGGGGCGGGGTGGGGCGGGGCTGAGCCTGGCCCCCACCCCGTGGCGTTAACCCCTCCGTGTCTGCCCCACAGCTGCTGGAGAAGGCTGAGGCGCGGGAGCGGGAGCGGGAGAAGGAGGAAGTGCGCAAGCTGCGCCGCCGGGAAGCAGCCTTCAAGAGCATGCTGAAGCAGGCGGCCCCGCCCCTGGAGCCCGGCTCCTCCTGGGACGAGGTATTGGGGGGACCCGCTCCCCTGCAGCGCCCGGCCCCCGGGCAACATCACCCGCCAGGCCGAGCCCCTCACCCGGGTGTCACTTGCAGGGCCCAGCCCCTCCCCACCCCGGGGCCCCTCACCCCGGCGTCACTCCCTGGCCCCAGCCCCTCACCCCGGCGTCACCCGCCAGGCCGAGCCCCTCACCCCGGCATCACCCGCGGGGCCCAGCCCCTCCCCACCCCCGGGGCCCCTCATCCCGGCGTCACTTCCTGGCCCCAGCCCCTCACCCTGGTGTCACTCACCAGGCC